ATCAATAATTTTTAATGCAACTTACACAGACACACACGCAAACACATTCTATCTCTCACATACTCTCTCTCATTCACACACACTCTCTCTCATTCAAACACACTCTCTTACATACGCACACACACACTCATTCTCTCACACACACGCGCGCGCGCGTGCACACACACACACTCTCACACACGCTCTGACTCTCTCTCTCTCTCATACACACACACAAATATATATATATATATATATATATATATATATACCTATTTTCATGTTAGAAATCCTTTATAGGTGTTACGTGTTATTGAATTTAAGAAGAATGACTTCAATATAAATGGTAAGTTATTTCTATTGAAGTGTCTTCCTTAGGTATAAATTTCTAAATTATATTTTCTGACAGTATCAAATCCAGAACTGAGCCAATTTCCAAGGAATCGCGTGTTTGAAAGTATACGGAAAGAAACCAGAAAACAAAAGCAAAATTCGTGAGAAGATTGTTTAGGGAAAAACTCTCTCTCTCTCTCTACATATATATATATATATATATATATATATATATATATGGGAGGAGAGATAGAGAGATATTTATATGCTTTAAGAAAGTGTGCCTTTTTGGAACCAACATCTCGTGACAGAATTTTTGTTTCACGATATGTGAATTTCTTCTGAAGCCTTCAATGACATCGGGGAGTCGTAAGTAATTTCCGTATCTTTTGATATTTTTTTTCAAATGGACATCAAGAGTAAGTCAATTTTGTACGCATCGGAACTCAGTGGGAGTCTCTCCCCACGTTCAAATTGGCCTCTCTCATGAAACGAATGTTTATGTCGCAGAATTCGCACGTATTAACTGAAAATAGAAAAAAAATGGCTGATTTTTCGAACTTTGTCAACACCTGTGCGAGTGATCAAAACAGGCTGACTTTGAAGAATGAAGTGCAGAAAAGTCTTCGGCCCGGGACACATTCAAAAATATTGATTTCAATATCAAAGCTCGGAATACTGATTTAACTAGCTGAGTCAGTCTCAAAAGCCTTGATCGTATATATATATATATATATATATATATATATATATATATATATATGTGCAAATCTTCAGTCTTCGTTACCGGAAGATTCTGTTTAAGCATGAAACGTACTGTCGTCGCTGTGTACTGGCCTCAATGTCTACTTTTATATTTACATACATCACTGATATTGAGTACTTTAACCCATAAATATAGCATCCTTTAAAAATGTATTTTTTTATCATATACGATATATATATATATATATATATATATATATATATATATATATGTGTGTGTGTGTGTGTGTGTGTGTGTGTGTGTATAGTCACCACAGACAGACTGATTCACTCTATCATAGCTCCTCAGTGTGGTTAGACGTTCGATTGCTTCAAGCCAGAATATATATATATATATATATATATATGTGTGTGTGTATATATATATTATTTTACATCTGCCGTGCTTAGTGGAAAGCGCTTAATATCTGTGATAATGGTTCCATATTTAGATGTATGGATATGAGGTTGTGACCCTAGGTTTCACACTTTTACTATCATCAGACAAACTGATTTATCCATGGATAAGCCAGTTTGTTTGATGGCATAAAACTGAATATCTATCTATCATCAGACCTACAAATTTGATGAATTCAATGTTGATTACGCTTCCATTGTAATAAATTATAAACCATGTATGTATGTATATATATATATATATATATATATATATATATATATATATATATATAATATGTGAAAATATATAGAAAATAGGAAGGAACTGGTTAGGTAAATAGTCCAAAGTTCCTTAGTATTTTTTTATTATTTTAAAAAATAGTGCTCGATACAAAAAGTAGAGCATAAATATAATTATTTATTTAAAAATATGATTCCAAATCGCTACATAAGAGGTCTCATGTTTCAAAACAAGAGCCGAAAACTTCAATATAATCCTTTAAATTAAATTGAGTTGAAATTAAAAAGGGCTCCGTTCCATCTTCAAGCGAATTTTTTGTTGGAATAACGTATATCTGAAATTTACTTCTTTTCAAAGTTGAAATCAAAATCACCATGGTAACAGTTAGGGCGAATTGTCTAAAATGGGTAGGCGAGTGTAGGTGTTAATGATGAGTGGCGGTATAGAGATACTTTCAAGGTGTCAAGTCGGGGAAGGTGGGGTGTTAAAAAAAAACGAAGATGTATTAAGCTTTCGTCAAGTTGGCTTGTCTATGGAGATTTATTTATTTATTTTATTTTATTTTATTATGAAAGGAATTGTGCTTATAAAAAGAAAAAACTTTCGTGGCGTTTGTTTTTGACGACTTCATAAAGGGTTATCTTTTTAGGTAGGGTATTTAAACTACTAATTTGGGCTATGTATTATGAAGGGTGTTATGTTGTATGCAAGTTTGTAGTTAATAATTTCTACTATGAATCTGATGATTGGGTTATTTGTTAAACAAGTTATATAATTTTTTTTTTTTATTTCAAACCAGAAATCTGATGATGCCTACAAAAAACCGTTAACTCGTGTCTATTATTTAATAGATTATTATTATTTAGAAGTTTAATAATGTGTAATTTTTCATGGAGGCACAAAGGGCATGGGTCATCCCAAGCCTTACATGTTCTAGCCTTGTCAATAATTTTCCATTTAACTTTTGGTGTCTTATTTGTTTCCTTCAAGGCCAAAAATATTTTGATAGTGAAGTCTGGTTTCTTTTGTTTATATTATTAAAGGAGCACTTATGCTGCCTCCATCTATCTTTAAAATTATTCTTCGTGGACCCAATGTATATCATAAGCTTACTATTGGTCTCTATACAGCCCGATGTCCTTTCTGACCTTGTTGGTCTCCTAATACTGTACAATTTAACGGCACACCGCGAAATTGATATTAAGGACATCGGGCTGTATAGAGACGACGGGCTCAGGGTGGTGAGGAGTTCTACTAGTTTTAAGATTGAAAAAATCAGAAAAATTATATTTAGTGAATTTAAGAAACTAAACTTAAAGATAACTGTCTCTTCTAATTTGAAAAGGGTTAACTTCCTCGACGTAACTCTAGATAGATGGAGGCAGCATAAGTGCTCCTTTAATAATATAAACAAAAGAAACCAGACTTCACTATCAAAATATTTTTGGCACTTGAAGGAAACAAATAAGACACCAAAAGTTAAATGGAAAATTATTGACAAGGCTAGAACATGTAAGGCTTGGGATGACCCATGCCCTTTGTGCCTCCATGAAAAATTACACATTATTAAACTTCTAAATAATAATAATCTATTAAATAATAGACACGAGTTAACGGTTTTTTGTAGGCATCATCAGATTTTTGGTTTGAAATAAAAAAAAAAAATTATATAACTTGTTTAACAAATAACCCAATCATCAGATTCATAGTAGAAATTATTAACTACAAACTTGCATACAACATAACACCCTTCATAATCTATAGCCCAAATTAGTAGTTTAAATACCTTACCTAAAAGATAACCCTTTATGAAGTCGTCAAAAACAAACGCCACGAAAGTTTTTTTTTTTTTTATAAGCACAATTCCCTTTCATAATAAAATAAAATAAAATAAATAAATAAATCTCCATAGACAAGCCAACTTGACGAAAGCTTAATACATCTTCGTTTCTTTTTAACACCCCACCTTCCCCCGACTTGACACCTTGAAAGTATCTCTATACCGCCACTCATCATTAACACCCTACACTCGCCTACCCATTTTAGACAATTCGCCCTAACTGTTACCATGGTGATTTTGATTTCAACTTTGAAAAGAAGTAAATTTCAGATATACGTTATTCCAACAAAAAATTCGCTTGAAGATGGAACGGAGCCCTTTTTAATTTCAACTCAATTTAATTTAAAGGATTATATTGAAGTTTTCGGCTCTTGTTTTGAAACATGAGACCTCTTATGTAGCGATTTGGAATCATATTTTTAAATAAATAATTATATATATATATATATATATATATATATATACACACACACAGATAGAGATAGATAGTAAATATCTGTGTATGCTCCTCATGTTATATAAAAAGACATGAGAAAGATATGTATATTTAATTTTTTTTATTTAGTCGACATGCAGCATAGTGAAGGTTTTGCAAATTATAATCGTTGTTGTAACAGTTGGCGTCTCACCGTGCCATTAATACCACCAAAAATCTCATTACTTATTATTTCGTTCTTTACAAGTAATCTAAATGGAATTTTAGTGAAAGGACCTGAAGCAGAAACTGATTCCTTAGACAATTATTATCAGAGATTCTAGGAGTTTCTCTTAAATCTCTTTTATAGCAAAAACACACGAGGATAATATACAAGGCATGCTTTCTCGAAAGCTTGCCATTTGTTTATTCTTTTCTTTTATCGATGTTTAATTTTTCCTGGAGAATGCAAAATTAACTAATGCAGCGGTTATTCGACAAGTTATCGAAAAGACGTTCTAAAATTATTCTCAGTGCTACTTAAAAATGGTTTCTTCTTCTTCTTTAGTTATTAGACACTTTCCTCATCTTTATTGGTCTTTGGGTTCTTTAACACAAAAAATGGATTTTCTCTGCTTTATTAAAAATAATAAATCAATTATCATGAAACAAGTCGTCAGTAGAACTTTCTCGTTCACTTAATGATCGTCAATAGCCAATAAGAGTTCAGTATTCAGTTAATGTTTATGCTGTACGAATATTGGCTGCTTCTTTATGTTGACAGCCCCACATCTGCTTTCACCGGCCTTTGTTTCTTTTGTTTTAAGGGAATTTCACAACATTGGAATTAACGTTCTTTTCCAGTTTCCTCTCGATTCTACATGTATTTTACATTTATTATTTTATGCTTAGCTTTTTAATCATTTAGAAGTTTTTCGTTTTCCCCAGAGAAAACATTTCCATATAATTGCCACAATTTTATTTGTTGCAATTGAGTTGCTGAATTTGAAATGCATAAAACGATTTTGCGTATCTGCGCTGACTTTAAAATGCTCTTCTCTTTAAGGTGACATTTATACAATATTTTAATATTACATCATACTCGACGTTTGTCAATTTTTGGTTGCTTATTTTATTTAAAAAAGAAAGTTTTCCTTCACTACGCTTTTAGAATTTCTCAAAGGCATTTCAATTGACAACAGCAAACGACGATTACATTTTCACAAAGTAGACGAAAGTGTTTCAAAGACAGAAAAGGTCATCATAACCCATGAAAATATTAGAGGATTTTACATGCAACATTATTTACGGTGGCTTTTTTTTTCGCTGAGAATTTTTCTTTCTTTCAATTTTTCTTTTCTCTTTCCTTTCCTTTTCTCTTTCACTCTAATCTATCAGGTGATATTTTCTAAATATATTTGAAATAGCGAAGTTTTACTATGTGTGGCTACGACTACCTCTTTTTGTTTGTATTCTACTCTCAGTCAATTCATATCTATCTATCTATCTATCTATCTATCTATCTATCTATCTATCTATCTATTTACGGTCAACTATGAAATTATTCGTACAGCAATCAATTTTGACTATTTTTATCCATTTCTCAGAAACTAATGTCTGTATGATGCCAAGTTTGTTACATATTAATAAATACAGAAAAAAAAATAATGTAAAACTCAATCTTCAGAACAATAGATTAAATTCAGCAAATTTGAAAGGAGAATTATGCGACATAGAAAATGATAAAATTATTCGTACAGTATGAAAAACAGAAAAAAAAAGAACAATTGTCACAATATTAATAGTCAATATCATGGCCTCTCATCTTTATAACAAATTTTTTGATGAGATTTGAAAAAGTCATTTCTGGGATTTTCTTCCATTCTTTAATGGTTACACTTTCTAATTCCTGAAGGCTTTTTGGTACTGATGATTTATTCAAACTTTCAATTCTTGCCATCGATTTTCAATAGGATTCAAGTCAATAGGATCGAAGGAAACGGTACAATTGAAATTTTTTAAAAACTATGCAGTCACTGATTTAGAAGTATGTTTGGGATCATTATCTTGCTGGTAAGTAACTCACCGACTTAGTTGAAGATTTTGTCCTGATATTTGTAGATTTTCATCCAGAATTTTGATATAGTCTGCAGATTTCATTTCCCATTTATTGCAATTAATTGTCCAGTCCTCCTTGACCTAAAACAACCCCAAAACATCATCGAGCCGCCTCCATATTTTAATGTTGGCTCTGTGTTCTTTGGGAGGAAAGCCTCATCTTTCTTGCGCAAAACTTCTGTACATCATTATATCCAAAATGTACAATTTAACGCTAAGCTCCATTGTTTTCCCATTGTGTTGTTAACGTAAGAATAACAACGGTGGCAATCTATGCACCACATGATGTTCCTTGCTGGAATTATCACAAATATTCTACTGAATAAATAGTCTAGAAGGCTCATCTATAAAATAATTATGTAAATTACTTACATTTACACGAATCAATCAATTTAAAACGATATTTTCTACTGTATGAATAATTTTGTCTTTTCTTATTTTGCATAATTTACCTGTCAATTTTTTTTGTATTTAACCTATTGTTCTAAAAAGTGAGTTTTATGTTCCATTTTTTTGTGCTTATTAACATATAAGAGACTTGGCATCATACAGGCATTATATTCTGAGAAATGGATAAAAATTGATAAGTTTACGAATAATTTCGTCATTAACTGTATCTATAATTCTGTTCCTATCTATCTATCTATCTATCTATCTATCTATCTATCTATCTATCTCCTTATGCTGAAACACCGAATTTCGTATAATCATCAAATTTAATCAACGTCGAGCTGGTTAGTATCTAGATGGGTAACCTCCTGGGAATACCAGTTGCTCAATCTCAATATTTATTTATTCTATCTATCTCAATATGTTTATTTACTTATATCTATCTCTCCATCTCTATCTATCGCAATATACTTATATCTATCTATCTATCTATCTATCTAAATACGTTTATTTATGTCTATGTTTATTTCTATCTATCTCAATATGTTTATTTACTTATATCTATCTCTCTATCACCAATATACTTCTATCTATCTATCTATCTATCTATCTATCTATCTATCTATCTATCTATCTATCATTAACTGCTATTAAAAAGCAAGTAAAAATTTAGTGTTTCGAAATTAGTTTTTGTAACCAAACAAGTGCCTAAACTGACACTTAAACTCTTTTCTGTTTCTGGCAATCAATGCCTTAAAACTTTTTTCAAATTTGAAGAAAAGGAATTCTAGCACTACTAAATTAGGCCCTTAACCTTTTACAAGACTTTTCTAATTATTCACATCTTCGGCAGATATTTTACTGTTCTGCCACAATTCATTGTTAGTGAATTTCTTCATATGTAAATGTGTTAAACTAGCAGAATATCGTGTAGACAAAGGCAGACTCGTAAGCCGACGTTTTTTGCATCGTCTAGCCCAAGTGTACACATGTTGGGCACCTTGTGAAGATCGAACACACTTCAGGGGAAATAGCTTGTGGATCAAACTTGATCGGAATATATAAATATATACCAATAAATTAATTTTTGAAGCAGTTCCTGGCGATGACGTCTCCAAACACCAGCAGAATCTGCATGTTTTATTTGCAGGAGGCAGTCAATGAAATAGATGCAATTCTGTCTGTTTGAAGCAATAAAGGGTTGATTTATAATAATAGCGAGGCTAATAATGTCAGTGAACGTGACACTTTGCGACAGATCCCCGCCCAGTAACAATTTCTTTGTTCATTTATGCTGTGATCATTTCCTGTGCAATACCATAATAAAAATCGATTGAGCATCGACTGGCAACACTGAGCCGGAATATAGGGAGGGGATTTATAAGTGACGTTAATGAGGTTTGGTCTTTTGCACAACTGAAAAGGGAAAGTGAGGAAAATTGGATATGGAACAAATGGGAATTTAGAAGAAGTATCAGTGTTGAGAGAGGGAGAGAGAGAGAGTGAGTGGAAAAGAGGGAGTAGAGAGAGAGGTAGAGAGAGAGAGAGAGAGATAAATGAAGAAAAAGTGTAATTTGAAAGAGAATGAATGAATAATAAAAATAAGATTTACGCGAAGAGAAGAATAAATGGCCGCGTTGACCTGTTGGGAAAAATGAAAGAAATAAAAATGATTATTTAGGCAAAAATAAGAAGAAAACTTTCAGAATAATAATCAGAATGGTTTTTCTACGTTTCACGCAATATAAGGCTCAAAAGACAATCAAGGTAGAGGGTTACTGGACGAGGTTTTTGCATGAGCAAACGAGGGGGAGTTAAGAATTGCAGTTCATGAGGGCATTTAGGGAAGATAATGGTCAACCCTAGACTTGACGATTTTAAGATTAAAGTAACCGGAAAAGCATAATCTTGGGAATCTGTTCCACAAAGTAGCGTTTCCTGGGAATAAAGTGCCCGAATGGATTTTCTTTCAACAAGAAAGAAGATATTAGAGGAGAACAAAATGAAAAAATATAATAGCATGAATAAAAAAGGATTTGAAGAAGTGAAAATCTAAAAGGTAACAAACTGAGAATGAATGTGATTTCGAAGTGTGGAAATCAAGTTGATGTGAGATTCTTGAGAGAAAAAATCAGTCGAGATTCTCAAGATGAAGAAACTGAAAGGGAGTAATAAAATGGCTGAAGAAAGAGAACAATGGGTAGGAGAAAAAATTGAAAGATTTGAAATTAGGTAAAGGTGACGGCCAATGTCATCCAACACAAAAGTATAGAACGTCAGGAGAAAGAGCATTTTGCTTTTTTTAAAAAAAAAACTGTATGTAATTATACAATCTATCGAAATCAGTCTATTCATATCTATCTATCTATCTCAGTCTTTTCATATCTATCTATCTATCTCAGTCTTTTCATATCTATCTATCTATCTATCTATCTATCTATCTATCTATCTCAGTCTGTTCATAACTATTTATCTATCTATCTATCTATCTATCTCAGTCTGTTCATAACTATTTATCTATCTATCTATCTATCTATCTCAGTCTGTTCATAACTATTTATCTATCTATCTATCTATCTATCTCAGTCTGTTCATAACTATTTATCTATCTATCTATCTATCTATCTATCTCAGTCTGTTCATAACTATTTATCTATCTATCTATCTATCTATCTATCTATCTCAGTCTGTTCATAACTATTTATCTATCTATCTATCTATCTATCTATCTATCTATCGAAATCTGTCTATTCATATCTATCTATCTATCTATCTATCTATCTATCTATCTATCTATCTATCTAAATCAGTCTATTCATATTTATCTATCTATCTATCTATCTAAATCAGTCTATTCATATTTATCTATCTATCTATCTATCTAAATCAGTCTATTCATATTTATCTATCTATCTATCTAAATCAGTCTATTCATATTTATCTATCTATCTATCTATCTATCTATCTAAATCAGTCTATTCATATTTATCTATCTATCTATCTAAATCAGTCTATTCATATTTATCTATCTATCTATCTATCTATCTATCGAAATCTGTCTATTCATATCTATCTATCTATCTATCTATCTATCTATCTATCGAAATCTGTCTATTCATATCTATCTATCTATCTATCTATCGAAATCTGTCTATTCATATCTATCTATCTATCTATCTATCTATCTATCTGAGAATATTCCTGATCGATGTATCCACTTATCTAATATATAAAACTAAATTGCAATGATCTTTCGTATTCGGTATGGAAAGTCTTTTAATTCCAAACCATAATTTTTATATTTTATTACTGATGATTCCAGTAAAATGACCGAAATTCATCGGCATTATGAACATTGACAAAATCATTTCCTGAGGTTTTAATCAATATGAAAAAGAAATAGTTTTCATCAACAATAACGTTTAAAAATAACTTACAGAAGTAAAATACATTTTGAATAAATTTCTATTGATGTTGAAAAAACTAACTTGAAATGCTTGAAAAAAAATAGCCACATTAGCCATATAAAATTCAGGTCTTCAGCAAAACTGGTAAATTAAAATTCTTGAATTCCCCAGAGGGTAAAATTGTTTCTTTTTTTTGGTTCTTGTCTGCAAGTAAAAATGGACAACTTAAATTTGACAAAGTTGGCCTTAGAGACAGACGCTGGCGTTTATATAGAATCTGCTGTAAGAACATATCCGAGGATTAAAAAAATAAAATTACTATATTACATACAATAGACAGGATTCGAGGACCCAGATTCGCTATGAAATAGCAGACTTCTTTAATCGGCTTGGACATCTGTCTAAGAGAAGGAAATTTCAACAGAAAACCTACGACCTTTGATTTCTCCTCTCAACGTTTAATTAGGCCCCAGATATTAAATGATTGGATGAAAGAGTGAAGCCAGTTTTAGGAATAGCATCACTCGACAGTCACTAAATAGGTCTATGCAGGGACAGTAATGCTTGCTTCATAGGGAAATCAACCTAGAAAGACGGAGAGGGGGTGCGTCGCTTCTAATCCTAAATGAACTACAGTGACATGCAATTAACTCCCAAAGAGGTCATAAAAGACAAAAGAAAATGATGAAATAAAATAATTTTAAAGTTTGTCTACTGAAAAGTAAAAATTATGCGAGACGGCAAGTGATGGACTTAGAATACAGCTTGCTTCTGCAGTAATTTTTCAAAATTGCAGGTTGAGTTTCTGGAAAATCTTCATACAATTGTGTTGCCTGACGATATTCTTCATCCTGCTTATCTATCACGAGAGTTAGAAAATTATATTGATGACGGTTCATGAATTTTCTTTGAAAGAAGACATAGCAGAGACGAATGCAAACCATTCCCAACTGGGAGTGGCGTCAAGAAAAAACTGTTTCTCACACTGTCCGACAGAAGAAATAGAGATACCATCACAAAGCTGTACATAAACTGGAGAAAACACCCATCTTCCAGTCTCATCTGCTTGACGAGGATGAAATAGGTAAAGATTTTACCTCCAATGCCAAATTGGACACAGAAAAATATAAGTTGAGACAAATAAAAACTACGATAAACTCAAAAAATGATTTGAACATATGTAAAACTTTATAAAGTAAAGGAAAACATCATGGAAGATAATGTTTTCCTCAATTCAGTTAGATTTTAACTGGATTAAACCAAGTCTATCTATCTATCTATCTATCTATCTATCTATCTATTGTGAGACCGGAACTACCTACACAATAGACTCTTCCAGGTCTATATTAAGTATGCGACACAACACTCTAGTGAGTGGCGAAGAGAGAGAGAGAGAGAGAGAGAGAGAGAGAGAGAGAGAGAGAGAGAGAGAGAGCCGCGTACGACTATCAGTATTGGACACTAACATATAGTAAGCTCCGCTTACACTATCTCTGTAACCTGTTGTTAATATATCTTTCTTACATCTAATCCGTGTTCAGTGTTTTCCTTCTGTGGTCCCGACTTTGGCCCCACATCAGTGGTGACGAGGATTCTAGAAACGCACTCACGGCGAAACCTAAATACCTTACCAGTTCCACATCTGTGTCGACGAAGAATTCGAGAAACGCATTCGCGTCGAAAACCGCAATACCTTGCCAGTCCCACATCAGTTGCGACAGAAAGATTCGAGAATTTCGTTTTCACCATATCAATAGCGACAGAGTACTCGAAAAATACACAGAAACTCCACGCGTTCCCATAGTAGTGTTGAACGAGAGATTAAGCTGGTATTACTACATTAGCGATTTAAACGCAACACCCAGCGTCTACATAAAAAAATATATTCCGATACCAAACAGCAGTGATGAACTAGCGATTCAACATCTACGGAATATTAAAGTCTGTCCAAATAACATTACGATTTCTTATACACACACACACACAGAAAAAAAAACAGTTTGTCATAAAACAAACTGACAACACAAGAGCGGAAGTACTATTTACGACTGAAGTTTTCGAAAAAAAAAACTATCTAAAATTTTTTTTTTATGTAACTGAGTTGAACTCGTGCATAAAATTATTCTCAAATTCACTGAGGCGAGTTTTATCTTTTTGGTACCTCTATAAAAAAAAATACATAAGTTTTATGTGTGGTGAAAATTTATACAATTAACGGAACCACGGAATCGCAAAAAAGCGAAACAAATAATTAGTTTAGTTTAACTAATTGTCTGTCCATATTTTTTTTGTATAATAGAAAAAAAACCTATCAAGATTTTTTTTTGTGTCCCTCCCCTTGGTACACGGGTTTCAAAGCAACAAAAAATCGCTGTCAAAAAGTAATTGCCCAAATGCTAAAAGCAAATTTGGATAAACAACAAAAATCAGAAGAAAGATAACAACAACTATTTTTGGAATTACATAAACAACAAATGGAATTCCACCAAATTACGCTTCAGAATGCTGAAGAAACAACTTAAAGAATTACTCGTAAATGCATTAAAAGGCTCAAACTCTAGAAAAGATACAATATTCTCCCAGAGTACAATCTAAAATTCAATGGAAACCTTTGAATACGTACTCGAGAACGACAAAACGTTCGAGGATTTTTACAGGCGCTACGAAGATATTTCCAACGTAGACAGTAAAAAAAAAAGGTACGTCTACTATTGAGAAAACTGGGAACTACAGAACATAGTAGGTTCGTAGATTTCATACTACCCAAGAAAACCACAGACTTGGATTTTTCAGAGACTATTAAGCTCCTATCGGAACTATTCGGGCCTAACACAACCTTGTTCCACAAACGTTGGAAATGCCTGAACATAGTCAAAGACAACCAGCAAGATTTTCTAACCTTTGCAGCATCGGTAAACAAGCTCTGTAATGATTTTAAACTAGCCGAACTGACTGCCGATGATTTCAAGTGCTTGATTTTCGCACGTCTAGTATCAGCAGAAGACGCCGAAGTCAGACGACGAGTACTGACCAAGCTTGAGAACGAACAAGGATTGACTCTGCAAAAACTGGCAGAGGACTGTCAAAGAGTAATATCTGTAAAGCGTGACTCAACACTATCGAGGAATCAGGCGTGACTCAGATTAATAAAATCAGAAGTAAGTCTACCGCCTATTCCCCTCAAAAAGACAAAAGGCAAATTTCATGTCCTAAATTACGCAGTAACCAAATCCCACATAGGTTAAAGAAACCGCCCGGACCATGTTACCCTTGTGGTAAATGGCATTGAATGAAATTCTGTCCAGTTAAGAACAAAAAATATTGCCAAAATTGCAATAAAAGTTGGCATACTTTAACTTCGTGCTGGTACGCCAACAGAACGAGAAAACCCAAAAATAAAATTAGGCAAGCTCAATCTGACAATAGTGTCGATAGGAATTTAAGAAAATATGTAACTGCGGATATTTTCAATAAGTGCATTAAATTCCAACTTGACTCGGGTTCTGATATTTCAACTATTAACTGACGTACTTGGCGAAAATTGAACAAGCCGACCTTATTAAAAACGGATAAAACAACAAAATCCGTAACTGGCGGAAAGATTAACATTTTAGGTGAGGTAATACTTACAGTAACACTAAATGGAGTTACCAAAAAGCTCAAAGCCTACATATTGAAAACTTCAGATAACTTATTTGGAACAGATTGGATAGAAAAATTCGATCTTTGGGATTGCCCAATGAGTACATTTTGTCACAAGATACAAAGTACAACGTCCAATTTGGTAAATCTAAAAAAGGAACTCAAACAACAATTTCCCCGGGTTTTTTCTGGCGGCCTTGGGAAATGTACTAAAATGAAAACTAAGTTCAAGGTGAAGGACGGTGCACAACCGGTATTCAAAAAGAAACGGAATGTCCTTTTCGCTGCTCTAGAGAAAATCAACAAAGAGTTAGATAGACTCGAACAAGCAGATATTTTGTCAAAAACAGATTGCAGCGAGTGGGCAGCACCTACGGTCTACGTAAAAAAGAAGTCCAATCAAATACGAGCCAACGCGATCAGAAACATGCCGGACCCAGATAACGTTCAAGCGTTACAAAGCTTCCGCTGCCTAGCTAACTTTTACCAAGGGTTCATTAAGAACATTCAAAATTTGAGAGGTCCTCTTAACCAACATTTAAAAAAGGACAAACCATGGTCATGGACCCCGGAATGCCAACACGCGTTCGAGAAGATCAAGAAAACTCTTACTTCGGACCTCTCCCTCATCCATTACGACCCTAGTATCGACATCATAGTCGCAAGTAAGGCAAGCTCGTACGGCATTGGTGCTTGCAGTTTACATAAACTGCCAAATGGTTTGCGAAAAGCGGTGGCTCACGCATCAAGATCTCTAGTTCGATCTCGACATGCCCCAAGTCTCTCCTGAAGTGCGACGCTCAGGAAGGAAAAGTAAATTTACCTAACCGCTCGACGTAAATCCCAAGAGGAAAAAGTATTAACAGTTTTATTTTTTCTCTCCTTTTCAAAAAGAAAACTCTTGGAGGGGGTATTGTGAGACCGGAACTACCTACACCATAGACTCTTCCAGGTCTATATTAAGTATGCGACACAACACTCTAGACACAGAGAGTCATTGACATAGAGAGAGACAGTGAGAGCCGCGTACGACTACCAGTATTGGACACTAATATATAGTAAGCTCCGCTTACACTATCTCTGTAACCTGTTGTTAATATATCTTTCTTACATCTAATCCGTGTTCCGTGTTTTCCTTCTGTGGTCCCGACTTTGGCCCCACATCACTATCTATCTATCTATCTATCTATCTATCTATCTTAATCTATTCTCATCTGTCTTAGCGAATGTGAATATGAATATGTGCATTTTTGTTTTATTTTTGCTTGCCTCTTTTTAAGAGACTACAAATAAAAGAACGGACCATTATTACGAGAAAACTTCTATGACCATGACTGTTTCTTTCACTTTGTGGGTTTTGTATGATAATCTAAATTTTCTAACGCAGAAAAATAGCAAATAACGTATATTTTATTGATAAATTCCAAAAAAATTGTCGATTCGATCGATAATTCCTTTTCTTCCTTAATTTGACTCAAGTTGATGAGAAAAATTAAAATGAGCCAAGAGGAATCGACAAGTCATCAGAAAGAATTGTTTCAGACATTATAGGTTAGTTAAGATGAGACGCGGTTGAAATTGAATTTGAATGCCACCGAAATGTTATCATGAAGATAACCAGCTATTCACCCGGTAGGTATCCGCCTGAAAGGGATAGGAATTGAAAAGGATTCACGAATTGCAATGTTGAATTAATGATGTTTTCTTTTAATTCTTGATTTCAATCTTTGGCAAGAACAACAACGACTGAAATTTCTGCAAAAAGTAAAGAAAGTTTTTTATTGATTCATTTTGAGTCGATCGTGTAGGAAATACTTTACAGTAATAAAATTTATTTTGAATTTCCAGAAATAAATTAATAGATAATTTCCTTACCTACACCTGCGGTGTTTTCTAGCATTGAAAAGGATGTAAAAAGTTATTCGGGAAAATCAAAGATTAAATGACATTTGAAAACTATTAACAGATAAGTTGCGTGCGTGTGTATGTGTATATGCTAGTTTGTGTGTGTGTGTGTGTGTGCGTACGTTCGTGTGTGTACGCAAACGGGTGTGTTTTTAAATTGAATTACAGATTCTGTTTAAAGAGTCTCTTGACGAATATATACATTTTAATCTAACTTATTTCGATGAAAACAATGGGCACATTTTACAACCACCTGACACATGCACACATGGCCAAGATACAAACACACAGCTAGCACATACACACACACAAAGCCAACAAACACACAGCCTGCACACACACACAGCCAGCACACACACACAGCCAGTAAACACACACAGCCAGCACACCCACACAGCCAGCAAACACACACAGCCAGCACATAGACACACATTTTCTCTCCCCCACACAAACCCAGTTTGTAGAGTTTCAAGGCGCCGTTTCATTACTTGCCTCAGTACTTTGGCATTTGACATAAGCTTTATTAAATATCAACATATCTCTCTCTCTCCACACACACACACACACACACACACACAAACACGATCACATGTAAAACATACACACGCACAAACATACACAGAAACACACACATATTCTCTCTCTCTTTTTTCCTACACACACAAATACTGCTTGTCTAGTTTGAAGGCCCCATTTTAACTACTTGACTGAAATGTTTTGGTTTTTGACATAATCTTTATTAAATATCAATATAC